CCAAGAACTTCAATCCTATTGAGAGCATTAGAAAACTCACAATACTTCAATTTACTCGATTTTAATTCAGCCTTTTTTCAAATACCTGTTAAAATTTCTGATCATTATAAATTAGCATTTACATCAGCACTTGGGCTTTTCACTTTTACAAAATTACCTCAAGGTTTAAAAAAACAACAGTGCCATCTTTCAAAGAAAATTCAATGAAACTTTTTCACCTTTATTATACAAATCTTTAATCATATATATAGATGATTTAACTTCATATGGAAAAAACTTTAGTGACACTCTAAAAAACCTCGAAAAGGTTTTCGAAATAATGAATGTATACAACTTCTCACTCAAAACAAGTAAATGCAAATTCTTTTATACGGAAATAGAATTACTTGGTCGTAAAATCAACAAAGAAAGTATACAACCACTAGATAGAAATATTAAAGCTATTACAGAATTCAAAACTCCTACTACACAAAAAAACGTCCGATCTTTCATTGTCATGTGTTCTTATTATAGAAAGCATGTTAAAGACTTTTCAAAAATAGCAAATCCACTTACAGACTTAATAAAAGGAGACCACAAAAAAATTACTTGGACTTCTGAACATGAAAAATCTTTTAATCTTCTAAAAAAACTTTAACGACCCAATCATTACTTCGACATTTTGATGATAACAGAAATACCTTCCTAACCACCGATGCATCAATAAATGGTCTCGGAGCATGTCTAGAACAAGACTACAACGGAACATTATTTTCAGTTGGTTTTGCCAGTAGAAAACTACTAAAAAACGAAGTAACTTATTCATCAACAACACTGGAACTATTGGGTCTTTGTTTCGGTGTACAATATTTTAGGGAATTCTTGTGGGGGAGACACACACTTCATAGTTTTTTACGACAACGTCAGTATGCAATACTATAATAATCTCAAAATAACTCCCGCCAGAATTGCCAGACTCGCATTAAAACTGTTAGACTTCTCCTTCGAAATACATTATAAGAAAGGTAAAGAAAATAAAGTAGCCGACGCTCTATCCAGAAATCCAATTAACAACATAAATATTAGTACAGTTCAAAAACCAACAAATTTAAATTTACCGAATTTACAACTTTCTCAAAAGGAAGACGAATTTTGTAAGAATTTAATTGATGCCCTCAATGGTAATCAAGACAATTCACAATAAAGGATAATTTACTTTATTACAAAAAATATTTACCAAATAAAACAACTGAAACAAATATAGTAATTCCACAAAACCTTATCCAGCATATTTTAAAATCATATCATGAATCGGCATTAGGAGGAGGAGGTCATACAGGAATTTCTAGAACAATACACAAAATTCAAAACAAATATTATTGGCAAAATCTTGTAAAAGACGTTACGCAATTTATAAAATCATGTCCAAATTATCAACAAAACAAAATACTAAATGGAAAACCCATAGGTAAATTGAATCCAATACCAATAACAAGCAAACCTTTAAATCGACTTACTTTTGACTATTTAGGTCCATTAAGCGCTAGTAATATAAAAATATATATAATAGTAGCTGTTTGTAATAATACAAAATTTATGTTCACAAAAGCTGTATCAGCCGCCACAGCGGAATCAACGGTTAAATTTATTATTCAGATAATCACACAAGTGGGTTGCTTTCAATATTTTTCGAGCGACAGAGGAACTCATTTTAAAAATGAGTTAGTTAAAAAAACATGTAAAAATCTAAGCATAAAACAAGAATGTTCAACGGCATATTCTCCGCAAACGCAAGGTATTGTTGAAAAAATGAATGGAGTAATTTGTGCGTCCCTATGAAATTGTATTGAAAATAATGATCAATCTAAATGTGGTCATATTATCTGCCTTATATAACACTAGCATACAACGCAACACCACAATCTAGTACACACTACACCCCCTTCTATTTATTACATGGATTAACCATATTTCCCAATTGACAACAAAATATTACCTGACAACATACCTTTTGACATAAAGCAATCATTAAAAATTCTACATGAAATACTAAGCACAATTCCGTTAAAAATTCAAAATATTCAGCAAACTCAAAAAAACAGTTATGATAAAAAACACGTTATCCTCTAACTTTCGATCCTGGTGCTTTAGTGTTAGTTAAATTTCCATTTAACGAACATGGAAAATCACCGAAATTAGCACCTAAATATAGAGGGCTTTTCAAAATTATAAAAAAAATTAATGACTTAAATTACAAAATTCAACTAACTCTAAATAACAAAATTACTGAAGATATTATTCATGTAAGAAGAGTAAAACCATATTACCAAAGACTCACCTAACAACGTAAACTTTTCTCTAACATACTATAAATACATATTAACACATTTATTTTTATCATAGTTATTATTCATTTATTTATTTAATTTTTTTTTACTATTCACAAAAACAGAACCAATATATCAGAATGAACTCGTCATTTAATAACACGCACCCACACATTATGAGTCCCATAGGACAATTATGTGTCAATTACACTCATAAAAAATGGCTTCTGCAAACAGATCATTATATTATAGAACAGGAGATGAATTGGACAAAACGCGTTATAGGATATTTTACAAACAAAAATATCATATGGCTAATCGACGAATTAATATATTATTTAATGATAGATGCAAAAAGGAATTTAAGATACCATTACCTAATTCATTACTTCAAAATTCAACAATTGCCAAAACACAATTATGATAGGTTCCAACAAATAAAACGAATTAAAACATTATATAACAGAAGTTTAACTGCAGATAATCATAAATTACATACCAATTATTGGAACAATCTAATTTATTATATATTAGTAGAAGATTACAATATAACACACACTAATTTAGAACCTTTACACAAATACAACTTAGATTCAAAAATAATTGAAAATTCCAACAGAAATGATAAGATTAAACATTTTGCAGACAATTCAGATGAATTTTATGACGATTATATACAATACCAAAATGTACTTCACAAATTCGAGAGCTGAAAAAAGTGGTAACACTGCGTCTCTCCAAAAAGAGGAACTCCTTCCGTACTCATCTATAGCTCTAGTACAAAATAATACATGCCACTCGTAGCGCACAATATCCCATCACAAGCTTGTGGCAGGTTCAACGGCAATATATTACATACTTTTCGCCATGAGGTAACATCAGCCATTGCCCCTGTTTCCTTACAGCAATAAAGCTCGTAATGATCTATTCTCGCGTACTGTGCTGTCAACTTAAGTCTCCATATCAAGGTAAACTTCACTAAAAAACTATTCTGACTTTTTTCTTCTACTCATTAAATTTTTATATTTTTTATTAATTTTTGAATTACGACAGTGTATTGTTTTTCAAGAGCAGTTCATTAATAATAAACGTAAAACTTAATAATAATGTTAATTTTAGACAAACTTACTTATACTTATTGACTAATTTATAATTTCTTGATTTTAGAAAACTAATAATATTTCTGAAGCTGCTCGTAGAAGGTTATAAGCTAAACTAAGTATGACAAAACCAACTATTTGGAAATTCATAATAGAGTTGAAAAAAGTTCAGGCCGAACGCGACATTTATTATGAATTTCTTGTTGCTGGTAATGAGCCACCTCCGACTAAAATAGTTTTCGTAGAAGCTAGTAATAGAATATTGCGATTGGTTCAAAATTACCGCCACAAAACGAGAATGGATTATTTAAGAGGCTTGCCGATAATTTTTTAATTGATCATTAAAATAAATCTAGAAATTAACGTTTTTATTAAATTTTCATTTAAGCAAAACTAATAACAAAATGAGAGTAATTGTTTAACTTGGCTGTGAGACTTAGAAAGTACATTAATAATTATGTGAAAATAGGTACTCATGTATTACAAAATTAGTAATAATATGGAATTCTGACGGATTTATTGGAAAAAAATGAAGCACAGATGTCATAATAAACCATCATAAACAAACACATATGAGTTCAGTAAATAATCGTCCGCTTTTCTTGCTGTGAAAATACTTCAGTATTTCGAGAAACATCATTTTATAGAATGCCAAGCGCCCTACCTACGCGAGCTGAAAAAAAACGCCTCTCATTTGCGATTGGTTGCAATTATCATTGTTTATTTGCTAATAGGTGGAGCCAACTCTCCCCACCATCGGATGTTTTTTAGAAATTTCTATTTTATTTTTGTAAGATTTTGTGACTCGGTGCATTTTTTCTTTTTACAGCCCAAAATGTTATAAATTTTTTAATTTTGACTGGAGGTGAGGTGCAGGTAGATCCAAATTATACCTATTGTGACCTCAGAGACAGATTTTTTAACAGGTCTCAAAAAGTTGATTAATTGTAAAACAAAATATCTTAATGTACTATATTTCCATTTGTACACGTATAGAAATCAGCAGTTAATTTATCAACAATTAATGTTAATGGTATATACATCTGAACATCGTTTTTGAGCTAAGGATCTCTTGCAGTTAAAATAATATCAAAGTTAGAAATTCATAATCGTTAATTGTATGCATTTACAAGAGTTTGGTGTTGTTTTAACAACAGTATGTTTAAAAATAATTATAGTTTAGTTTTAAGTTAAATTCTACTTGTAGTAATGCTTTAAAATTTTAAAATAATATAAAAATACAAAAATTTGATGAGATGACTGAAAGGATATGGTCGATAGCTATTCCTATTTAATAATCCTAAAACCTACCTAAGATATAACATTAGTCATATGATCAAGTAGTGATACATGTTTAAGGCTTATTTAAAGCAATACATTTTATTTAAATTAAAAATTTATAGTACACATTTTTACTTAAATACTCATTATTTAAAAGATTTTTATTAAAAAAAACCTGTCTATAATCATACATAGATAATATTATCTATGTATTGTATATTATATTATAATATATTGTTAGCTTGGTATGTAACATCACTTACGGTTTTTGAACACCCAATTTAGAGCATTATCTTTTATAGGAATACATATTATTCTCAATTCTTAGTAGGTGTTAAGTGGATACCTTACACTAAATTGTCTACATCTTATAACAACTTCAACATTTTGTTTATTTATTTGCAGTTGATATTTTGTTTAATTCTAAATGGAGTCAAGGCCAAAATGACCAAATATCCATAAACTCAATTTTTACAAATACTAATAAAAGAAATATATATTTAATTAAAATATAAAAAGGAACTTCATTAGATAATAATTATAATAGTTTGAATTGGTGTAGTAAAGATATGTTAAAATATAAAGATTATTACATTACACAATGGAATCATTTACTTTGTGTAAATTGTAAGCACAAAATACACTTACAAATTAATTACAATAAAAATAATTTAGTGACATACTATATATTATTAATAAACAACAAGATATAAATTTTTAAAAAAACAACTATGTAACAGTTATGAATATATTTAAGAGTAGCCTACATTTTACCATTACCCAAAACTCTTTTGATAGTTGGTGTTGAATCAGATAAATCATTTTGAATCCTGAATCATTTAAATTCTGAAAATAAACATTTATATAAATAATTACAATATAACACATAAATAAATAAAACAGATTCAACTAACAAGGGTTTCCAGGACTTTTTGTTTGTTTTTATTTGGTACTAGATATGGAATTAATAGAAGTTTCATTATGTTGCTTGTTCTAGTATCTAAATAATTTTTAATTTAAATATGATAAGTATCAAACATAACAGCTAAAATATATAACAAATAATTTAAAATAGATATTGGATATAGATACATTTAAATTTTATGTGTTAAAATAGATGAACTAAAGTGATTCACTTATTATGCACTACTTAATTGATCAAAAAAAAAATATTGATGATTTTTTTATTGGTTTCTTTTAGTACAATGTTTCTTTAAATGTATCATTCATAAAGTATTTTTTTATGTTCATCCCTTTTACCTCATAAGGGTGTCAAATTTAATTTTCATAATGGCAATACATATAATTTATTGGCTTTTTTGTTAGATAATAATCTAATTAAGAAAATAACTGGTCAATAACAACTTTTGGACCACTATTTCAGATTTTATTAATAATTTACAGTAATGATTAAAGGTGAAGAGTTTATTGCTGTTTTTATAACTTAACATTTCGAGCCATACTCATCCTCCCCCTCAGTAATAATATTTAAACCTCGATTTTCAGTCTTTCTTATTTCAAAAATTAATTTTCAGTGTTTTTTTAATCTCATCAAAGTTAAAAGACAACCCAATTGTGCTTAACCAAACTTTTGCTAATTTAGCTTCATCTATTTTAATTTTTATATTAAATAAATAAATGAATTGGATGTATTAGCATNAGATTTTATTAATAATTTACAGTAATGATTAAAGGTGAAGAGTTTATTAGAATATAAAACCAAATATATTACCAAACTTTGTCTTGAAATAAATAATTTATTAAAAGTTTCATAAGTGTATTTTGAGCATCATCAGATTAATGTTCATGTTTTAATTTTGCATCAGTCTAAATAAAACGACCATCATTAGTTGAATGCAGCAAGCTCATAATAGACTAAACATAATACATATTATTTTATAATTTGTCTTATTTAAAGAATAAAATTTTATTAGTATATTACCTGTGAAGTCCATTTCATTGGTTTATACCTCCCATACTTGGAATTTGATTCAGTTAGAAATGAATATGAGGAAAATCTATTCGAATTAGTTTGCACATTTACACTATCATCACTTTCATTACTATTTAAAACACTACATTACATATACATTAATAATTTCATCCAAATTTTTATATTCTGCCATAAGACAGCTATAATTATTTAAAAAATCACCTATTTGTATTTAGAATAAAAGTGTAACAGCCAAAACAGCTAAAAGCAATAGTTCAATACTATAATATAAAAAATGTACAAGTTATAGATATATAAGAACCTTAATAAAGTTAGTATTTATTTTCATGACTGAAGTGAAACTGCTGTATTACCATATTTTAAAAATTATAATACTTAAACTTACATAATTATGCCCCAAATTAACAAAGCAAACAAAATAGGAAATCATGATTTTAAGTTTAAATTAATTTACAAATTCTAGATTAAAGAATATGTAATATTATGTTTACAGTGATGTTTTGTCTGGTGAATGTTTATTATCAGTGATTATTGCTTATTCGCCCTTCTAAAAATAACCTTTTGTAATATTTTAAATTGAATATCAACTAGCGTTTTGAAATAACAATGATTGTAATAGAACTAAATATTTCTAATGCTTTACTAATACTCATTAAATGTTCAACTTAACTTATAACAATGGCATAGTTAACATGGTTAAATTATTTTAACTCAATTAGTAAAAGTTATTTTATAATAACACTCCGTCTGATAAAATCAAAACATTTTGATTTAACACTCATCCAGTTAGTATCTCAATTAATAATAGAGTTTAAATCAAAACATTTTTAATATTATAGATTGGCATATATAGTATTTATATTACAATAACAATTCTAATATTCACGATTACGATTAAATTATAATTTAATTTTTACTTATAAGTACAAATCAAATTTAAATAATTTGTGACATTGTATAAATAAAAATGTTTTATCATTATACTGCATTTTAAGGACTTGTGCAATAAAGGATTAGGTTAAAATAATTATAATTTTTTGAAAAGGGGTTAATAGTAAATTTATATATCAAGAGTCTGGGGGCGAAACGACGGCGGCGACCCTCCGCAAATATTTCACTGACTAAATGAAGTTTGTAGTACATTTGCTATGCAGAATGTTCAGTAAGTAAATTTTTAAGAACAAAGAGAACAATAGAAACCCATTTCCATATTTACTGAACACCTATACAAACTACTTGTAGTCTGTGAATATACGTTGGAGGCATATTTGTGATACCTTATGACATGCATTGTTCGAATATCACTTATTTTTTTCGGCACATCGTCAACCAACTACACTGTTGGAAACTAGTTAAATAATTCGATCTCGCGCATTACTCTAATTTTTCCTTTTTGTATGTTATATTTGTTTATTAGTGAGAATAAACGTCAATTTTCAATCTTGAACTATTGTATCGCTTACGTTTAATCTGTGTCAGTTTACATGGCTCCCTTACCAATATATAGTTATCATTATCGCGACTCTCGCGTTGTAGTATTTTTATACTAATAAAATACAGTGGCGGTCCAATGATTTTACTATGAAAGATGAAAAACCTCAATAAAATTCATCATGAGAGCTGTGTCCCCTACATCAAAAACTTTTTAGTTTTATTACTCTATCAAGATTTTATTATGAACTATTAGACATGTATAAATGGCTTTTTTCTCATTAAACATATTTAGAATATTTAATTTATTTTAGAATAAAACCCCCTTAAATTTACTTATTCATAAATAATAACCCATACTTAAAATGTTATCTCCCAAATTTTTAAGATTAAAATGTGTTACAATATTAATTATGTTCAATAATTAGCTTCGATGCGAAGCTGAGAAGGTATTGGTTTTACTAAGATGTGTTTTTTTTTTT